TCGGACACGGTCGAGGTGCGCAATGACTCTGTCATCCATACTATGTTCTCGTGCTTGACGCTCTCGATCGGACAGATCGCTGATACCAGTATGTTGGCAGGCCCGTACCTTCCCAATGATCCTTTCGATACCCTCTGCTACATTTCGACAACCAATACCATGTGTGGCTGTCGGTCGATTCGTATACAATGCCTGCGCTTTTCCCCTGCTCCGTCGATAAAGCGACCAGCCTAAATTGCTGTGGCCTCTTCGCAGACGCAATTCAACCTAGGTAGGTCCAAACGCACAGGACAAACTAACAATTTGACGCATGGGATAGCTCCTAAGATCGGCTCTTACCGGTCAGCACGCGCAACCAGTATTGATACGCATCGAACCTTAAACTGACATAGCTTGTATCTACCGAGCGCTACAGAATCTGAAATCAGAAAATCCCATAGACGACCAAAATGCTCAAAGCCTTTTATCCATATCGAGCCTGCATAACAGTCTATCTAGTTTGAGATAGCACATGTGAGATACTGTACATACATACATGTAAAATACATGTAGGGTAGGCCCAGAATGCGTGAACCAACCGGCTTCTTTCCGTCCGCAAGTGGTGCTGTCAAAACTGCCAGCAAAGATCCATGATCAGCAATCATCATCCAGAATTTGACTAACTGCATGAAACGAGGCGCAGTGTGATAAGTTGAAAGTCCTGGCTATTTGACAGGTCTTATGTTCGTTCTTCAATTCTCCACCTTGGGTCGTGTCGTTGAAAGCGAGAGCAGAGATACCTGCTTGTCCTCTTTTTGCACTTTTTGGAATTGTTGTTCTGTATGTATTATACCGTGGAAGATTACCCATACAACACGGATACCGCAAACCCCCGAAAGAAAAAGAGAAAGAAAGATAAGCACCGCTGGTCTTCCTGGTCCCAATTTGAACCTAGGTACTGGGTTCCTGATACCGCGAATCGAACCATACAATGGCGGTGGATTTTGATCCCAGCTGGTCGGGAATCCAACCACACGTGGATTGAACCACACATCGTACTTCGGCCTTGACTGGTGCGCTAAGTGACTTGGGGGTTTGCTTTCCCACTTTCGGCCGGCGGGGGGCCCGGGAGAGATGATGATCTAGATCCCATCCTCCGTCGTCCAATTTCGTCCATCCATCCATCCATGATCTCATCATCTCATGATTTGTTTAGACAAACGCTACGTAATGGACCCGAAAGAACAGCATTCTGGAAAGAACGGAATCGATGATCTAATCAAAAATAAATTAAATCACGATCATAAGCACAACGGGGTCAATCAAGAGGAGTGGGCACCAATTTTGATGAGATCCGAAGAAGGGCCGTCCGAATCCAGCGGGAGAACCAAAGAAACAAATATTGATAAATTAATTGTTCCTAGACTTTTTCAATTTATCTTAATTAACTGTCCGAACATGTTCAGACTTTTTGTTCCCGCCGGGCTTCATTACACTCACATCATAATCTGGACATGAAGGTGGGACAGATTCGATGGTGTTCTTTTTTAGGGGAAAAAACACTATGAATAGGATGGCAGCCGGGGAGATTAAGTTATTATTTTCTCAAGTCCAAGACCTGCCTAATCGATCGAATTTCAGTTAGCCGATCGGTTCCAGGATATAGCGACTTCTGACTGGAAGAAAGCTTTTGAGGGTTTCATTTCCCGTATGCTAGATAACTGGGGCTAACTACCTAGTACATACTTGAATTGGGAGCTAAGAAGTACTCCAGAATTAGCATATTCACAATCCGGACGGCTCGCGGATTCTACTAAGTACTAACTGAGTATTCGCCACTACGTACTGTACCAGACCTCCATTGCGGAGCCCTGGAATTATGAGAATCTGCATAGAATCCCGTAAACGAGGTCCCCGAGATGAGATGAGGGAAGGGTAGTTACCGGGCCGCCGGGGAAGTGGTGAAAAGTGGGATTTTCTTGGGGGGTGGGGGGGGAGAAATCCACGGGAAACTAGGGGACTACTTACCCACCTACCTACTCCTACGTACTCAGTAGCAAAAGAGTGGCTTGGAGCGAGGAAGGGAGAGTGGGATTGACTGACTGACAGACAGTAAGAGTGCGAGCGAGGGGTCAGCGCCACTGACGATAGACGGTCTCGGGGAGAACTGTCAGGTTTGTCTCAGTTGGGAGGCATTCCACTTGTACAGCACTGGATGGAGTTGACAAAGACAAAGACATATTCGAGTAAGCAGCGGGATGTATGTACAGTACAGTACAATGACTAAAGATTCGATTCTACTCTCTTCGTCAGCGGAGTCCCTTATTCTCTCTCTGCTTTCAATACCTATTTATCTACCCTCTAAACCTCTATGGATCGGCAGTAAAGTGAGAGAGAGTAGATTCTACTCAAGAGATCCAGTCTTTCACACCTCTCTACCAAAAACAAATCATACGAATCTAATCAGGTTGGGGAGTTGATGGTGGGAGGGAAGAAGGGAGAGAAGAAAAGGAGGAAACCCAACCGATCCTTTCTTCACCCAGCACCACTACCTCCTCCCTGAAGCTCAACCCGTTCAATTGGAAGTCAACCAGTAGAGTCAATTCAACTCGAGTCGGTGGCAGTGTTCAGCACCTACTTACTAGATACAGTACCTATGAGACATAGTACCGGTAGACGCAGACGCCACGGTTAAGCACGATCGCGATCGGCGACTTCCTCAATCAAAGGAACCAAGATAGAGTATACGAACAACACTGCGCGCAAGCGTGTCTTTGACAACTTCCCCCCCCCTTCCCCGAATCCACTTTCTTCCACGTCTCCTCCCCGAATCCAGACCTTTGTTGTTGAGGTCAACAAGTGGTCTGTGGTTTTTGTTTTGTTTTTGTTTGTTTTTTTTTTTTTTCTTCGATCTGCACAAAGTTGCCGATACGCGGCGGCTATCTAGCATATCTGGCGTGTATCTACAACCCGGACAGGCTGGTTCCATGGTTGAGGCGCGTCTTTCAAGTAATGTTAACCGAGACCGTGGACCAGAAACCAAAAATCATTTTTCCCAGGAAGTAAAACGAGATTTAAGGTTTCCTAGATGGGATTTTGGTGGTGGTGGTGCCTTTTTCTTCACGAATTTCCTCGGGATCGTCGCGAGATGAAGAATGGAAATGACTAAGATCCGCCAGTTCGAATGGAAATGATAATCCAGATAAACGGAGGTGCAGGAAGAGGATCGTCGGAGATGACATGCGGAGTGAGTGGGAGGAGGCAAGCAAAAACACTGGGTATACATTTCGCCGCTACTGCGATCCACCGTCTGTCTATTCAGTGTATAGACATATCCAAGAACCCAGCCAGTGACCAAGTCAATTCCTACTTCAATCCATAAACACTTTACAGTAGTACTTGTCCAGTCTAGTTAGGAGAGGCGAATATTGTTGACAAGAAGCAATGCTCAAACCAAACTTTGAAGAGGGGGGCGTGCCTCAGCTCAGTGTTTGTGTCCGCTTCCCTTCCCAGAAAGGGAAAATGATATGACAGTTTTGACAGCCACCTACCGGGGGAACATTTGCACTGGCCTCTCTGCCCCTCCCTCACCCACTTTTCCCCTCCCTTGCCCCCTCCTCCCCTCTTTCCCAAATCTCAACGTCGAAATCTAAACAACAGTTGGATCTGTGCTGGTCTGGTCTGTGTAGGCTAAGACCATCTCAACCACCCGCTCTCCCCTTGGGGTCCCCCTCCTCATGCACTCACTCTTTGGGCAAAGGGGAGGGGGGGGGAATAATCGCAATGAAATTGGATGTTTCAATTACCGGCGGGGCGTTTCCCACATTACTAGGTATCTCTTTGCAGATACCTGGTTCTATATGTAGTACTCCATGAGAATGGCCAGGAAAATCTCTCGATAAACAATTCGATCCCGTGAGATCATTTTCAAAAAAAGAAAAACCTCCGATCATTCCCTGGATAGGACGCAGGGCGGTAGGTTGTTAACTACACTACAGTGGCGAAGAAACAACAATCGGAAGGGACTGAACCGAGTAGTGACTAGCTGTACTGTACATAATCTGCTAGCCTTGGCTTCTTCTGCTGTATCTCTACTTCCCATAGTCAAACCAATACCCACTCCATCGTGGTCAACCGTCCCAAGTCTCGCCGATGCAAAACCTAATCAAACAATGGGATGGATCCGCTATCCGATCTCCCAGGATTGCAGAGGCTTTCCCCTTCTATTGTTCGTCCCGTTTGCACTGACAATTGGAAACAGGTATAGCGGGTTCCTTGGGTTCGTACAGATGATGAAGAAAATTATTCGAAAGCCAGATCAGGACTAGATGAATCGGAGCCGGTGGAAGTTTGTTTAGATTATGTACAGTACACTGGCTGGGTCTGGTTCCTTCTTCTTTGCCTCCCGTTTTTGTCGTGGCGGTGATGGTAAGGTACTTAGTATGTCATTGTACTCCGTATTGGTGGCTTTTATTTGTCTCTGACTGGGGCTTCTTCTATACAAACATGGTTTGGTTTCGTGGGGATAGTGGAATGGGCTCAGAATGATGTTCCAACATACCACCCTAGGGTTTCTTTTATTTCATTTTAATTTTTTTTTTTTTTTTGGTTCGAAGATGCGAAGACAGAGCAGACCGGAGGGCTTTCTTTCCACGGATGAGATGAGAAGGTAATCTTGCTTGGTAATGCTTGCGCTCGGGGCCTCACTCAAAGCGGAGTAACTCTGTCCTAGAGGGTGTTCAGATCTACAGGCATGGCTGGGTGCATGAGGCGCCGAGGACCGTGACTGGCTCCCCTCCTCTTTACGTAGAAAACACATGAGCACCCCAATTCGAACCACGCACATATTTGGTCGGTCTTTGTTTGTTTGCTTTACTTTCTGACTTACAGATCCATATCGTAAGCTGCATCTGCGGCCAACTCAAAACCACAGATTCACGCATCTTTCGCCTTCACATGTATATCCAACTCTTTAGCAGCGGCGACTTGCTTGATGGGTCGAACAGGGAAATAACCCCATTCTATCGCCAGTACGCACTCGCCACCGAATTGATATAGTCAATCCCCTCTTTTCGCCACGTGTCCGGCTCCATATAGCTTGTGGTATTGGCATTGAAGACCAGATCGACCGGCCGACCCTGCCCGTAGGCCTGCCAGCGGACCGCCGACTCGTTCTTGATGCCCGAATTGGGGTCCAGGTCGTGGATGAAAGATGCCCACATGCTGGTCATCAGCTGGCTCAGTTGCACGTACGACTCGGGCACCCCCGCGAACGGAAGCCCGTAGTGGTACCCAAGGCCGGCGATGTTGTTGAAGACAAAGGCCACTTCCTCGAAGTGGGTGGCTCCTGACAAGGGTGTGACGTCCGCGGACCGCACATTGAAGCGGTAGCAGTAGGCCGTGGTGTTGGTCGCCGTCCACGCCTCGCATTGTCGTCGCCGGTTCGCGTGCATCTTCGCGTCCCCTGCATACGCGGATGTGCGTCGCCACTGGTAACCCTTGGATGGGACTCGTCTGGAGCCAAGGAACTCGGGGATACCCAAGGAGGGATTATCGGGGTAGACCTGCAGGATATGCTTGGCGATGGACGGAGGTAGCTGGAAGCCAGCCTGACCATCTGTGGCAACTTAGTAAATGTAGAATTGGTAGACCAGATACACAGAGCAGGGCATACGTACCGGTAAGATATGCATAGAATTCCTGCGTCGTATTGACCCCGGTGGGCCCGAACGCTGTTCCTTCGTCAGTGTTGGTGCCGGCAATTATAGGAACCTGAACGAATTCATGGCGGTCAAGCTGGAGACTGCCCCAGGTCGGAATCAAATCACCATCGATGACAGGTGAGAAAGGGTAGTTCGATTGCCCATCGGTTCCATTGAGGACGTTATTCAACTTCTCAAATGGAACCTCACGCAGGCATTGCAATGAGTCCACAACGTCGGAGCAGTTGACCTTGGCCACGAGGTCGTCGTAGAGGGCCTGATAGCTGGTGTAGTTAGAAGGTGCGGCGGCAATGGTTCCCCCGGACTCCATGATTGCTGCACGGAAGAGGCTGTCGTTCCTACCCCCGTAGGCTGCCAGGTGATATCCAACAGACATTGCTCCCGCAGACTCGCCCCAGATAGTGATCTTTGCCGGATCACCACCGAACGCAGCAATGTTCTCCTTGATCCAGTGAAGTGCCAGTCTCTGATCCCTAAGGCCGAGGTTGGTGTTACCTGTGCCGCTGACCTCACTAGAGCTTATGAAACCCCAGGTCGTGAGCCGGTAATTGAGCGACACGGCGAGGAATGGTTTGCCTGTGCGTGCCAAGACATGTCAATAATGGCCATGGCAACAGCTCAAGGGCGACATACCAATCTTTTGAGCATTGGCAACAATTGCAGACATATTATAGCGCTGATCCGCACTTGATCCTTCTGTGAAGCCACCTCCATGGATCCAGACTCCTACTGGGAGGCTTGAGCTTTCGTTGAAAGAGGAATCGCGGATGACGTTGAGAGTGAGACATGCTTCGGACTGATTGTACCATATAGAATCCGTCTAACGTACTAAAGTCAGCTTATATCATATGAAGCCGGCAAAGGCAGTATAGTGGCATACCCCATATCCTACACAGATGTCTGAGTATGCCTTCGCCTCACGCTCACCATCCCAGCTTTCATCGAGGGACTTTGGAACCCTGAATCGCAAGTCGCCAACTGGCTGTTGCGCATAAGGTATACCAAGGAAGAAGTCTTGCTCATAATTGGTGTTTCTCACTCCGACATATGTACCATTGCGAACATGAGCTGTAGGCTGAGATGTATCAGCCGAAGCGACAAGGCCACTGGCAAAGAGACCGAGCAGGCAAACGAATGCCCTGCGCATCTTGCAGAGTGTTATAAGATTCAAAAGGACTCTAAAGCTGCTGCACCATACTCCGACGACGCGGGACGACGCTGCTCTGCAGCATTTATACCTGGATCTTCACGGTGTAAGGGGGTCTGGCGCAAAACCCGGCATCAGGTCAAAACGTTGCATCATCAACCCCGGGTTAAGAACAGTCGCGGGATGTGGGGAAGTACTCCAGATCCCACCGTCAACAGGGAGGAATGTTTCCGAATCAGGTTGCGCCGCCGGCCAAAATGCGGAGCATTGGGGTCATGGGAATAGATTGGTGAGAGCGAGTCATGCAGAGATCGGTGAAAGCACCTCGTCTCTATACCCTGATTCGTACAGGTGCCCGCATTCTGCTCGAGTTTTGCTTGACCCGAGGTATCCCCGAGGTTGAAAACTTGGCGGGGAGGATATATGCCGTTCATGTCCCCGCAAACGGGATAATAGCGTGATGCTATTAAGGCTAATCGGGCAAATTGTTATAGCCGGGTTCCGTTCCGAAGTATCGTTCGACGACAAGGCCCGCCTAGAGTTGGTGTCCTCGGAGAACATGTAAATCGAAGCTGCAAGAGGAGCAAAGCAACGCAGACCTGGCACAGAACGGTAGATATGAACAATCCGTAGAATATGAGAAAGAAGTGTGGGCTTCTGACCGCCATGCCGGCCTGTCTGCAGGTTCTTGCATGCTTAGGGTTTAACAGCCGTCTGCCGGCTATGCTACGAGGATTCGCGAGGACCCCTCAGCAGTCATATTGCACAAGCAGCCCCTACTTCAAAGTCAAGAAAATCCTTCGAGCCACACAGGAGCCAAGACGTACCAGGACCAATCCAGGCAAGGCAATCCGTTCTTCACTCGTGAAACTTCCTCCGACTGGATTTCTTGGCCGTGAATTTGCCGTTGTACGGCCGGCCAACCAGTTTTTACCATTGAATGTTGAGAAAAACCAGAGTCACACGCTGTAGCACGTCATAGTCACCGAAGCATAAGCAGCCTCCCTGACGAGCAATGGTTGGAGCTATAGTGTCTCACAGTGCTCACGTCAAATGATCTGACCCTCGATTCCTTGACTGCTACTGCGCTCAAACCTTCGCCGTGGTCGGACATGGCAAGAGCTCTGTGAGACGTGCCAGACGATCGTAATTTCGGGGCGCTTCACAGCATTCAACTTGTCCTAGAGATGGACCCCGATTGATTCAGTGCGGAGTAGAGACGTTCGAGGTGAAGCGAAGGCGTTCTCATGACTGCAACAGTCCTAGGGGCTGCGCCCCTGCAACAACTAGAACCAATTCTGCAGCTTGATGGAGAGTTGCGGTGACTGTAGCTCCTGCTGAACTGAAAATATCGGCATTGATTCAGGATCAGGCAGTCCGTCTGACCAGACGAAAGGGTAGACCAAAAACTCAATGCCGACCGGCTTTAGTGTCTACAAAGTCGGGAGACACTAAAGCCGGGAAAGTGCATGTGCTGTCTTTCCTATGACAGGCTCAAGGTAAAGTTCCTGGCACAGCTACACCAAGTCAAGGTACGTCACCGAGGCCCGTGACAATGAGCAAAGCACCCCCCATATAAGTTATGTTCAGTTGACAACCATTGAGGGAGATGAAGCTAGCGTCCTGCAAGCACCGGCATGTTTCGACGGCGCTTGTTTCGTTTTGATATGACATCTGAAATTATGCTTTGGGATCCCTCTACCACGTTCCATGTGCTCTCGGCATTCTCTCAACATTCCGAAGAAATTGAATCCATCTTAGCCGTCATCAACGGCTTTCTGGGTGCGCTCAGGACGAAGAGTTCCGCCGAGTTCGACAAATACTGCGTGCGAGCGGGAGGAATGTCCCTCTGGCCACCTTCACCGACCCTCCCTCGCTTCTGTACGATTGGAACCTTCGTTGAACAGGTGGTCAAGATCGAGGATGAGATCGATGAGTGTATCTGGGACCCTGAAGTGAAAGTGTACCCTTCGGGTAGCCTGGCCGCCGTCTGGGCCCCTTTCCGAGCAAAGGTCAACGGTGCTGTGCATCATGTCGGCGTTGAGCTCTTCATACTTCACAAAGTCAGCAATACATGGAAGGTGACTGGAGTGGCTGATTCGTGTCGAGAACCGACTGAGGAGGAAAAGATCTGGTTGCCTTGAACGGGCGGCATTCGAGGATAGCGGGAAAGTTTTGAGACGCGAAGGTCCCGTCCGATTGAGAAAAAAGACTGGAGAAGGGGAGTTGCTTGTCTGAGATTTGCATGGTTTATCTCAAACTCAGGAGGCTCGCAACCATTTCCTTCTGATATTGTGGAGTGTTCCACACAAAATCAAGAACATCCAAATAACCTCCTATACAATGATGTTAATCACAAGGGCAAAACAATTGGGCAAACCAAGTCTCCTGTAATATTATGCAACACGACTGACAGTATATGTAGTACTCAACTATAAGTGACAGTGGAAAATAGACAAGCTATCTACATCTATATGCGAATTTATTTACAACTTCTGTTCAAGTATTTTTACCCTTGAGAAGTTCCCACCCAACGGTACCGTTCCTCCCCTCATGCACGCTCATCTCGTCTACGGCCTTGACAAGGTCATAGCAAATCCGCTCCGAAACGACACTGTCTTGCTTGTAGTCCGGGTGCGACGCAACGAACTCGCGGATCCACTTGGCGCCCGTCCAGAGAGTTCCGTTCGCACGTTTGCGTATCAAGTCAAGGTAGCTGGCCAATGAGCAGCGAGTCTCAACATCCACATTGACACTGTTCAGGTATGATTCGACAAGTGGGATCAATCCAGGGAAAGAGCCGTCGGAAGAACCGTTGATGATATCAGATATAGTCATGAGTTCGTACTCGGACTCCACTGGGGTAAGGGATGGCGATGGGGGCGGGGAGTTGGCAGCGGACGACGTGGTGGAAGAGACGTTGCTTCCACTGGATGAATGAGAATTTGGGCGGCGAGGGGAGAATGGGTCCTTGCGGAAGTAGAATTTCCGGTCGTGAACCGCATTGCGTGCATGTGCGGTCTCCATGTTCTCTGTCGTGCGCTGAATCGGGATATAGAAGTTTAGATCGTAAGTCAAGATCGCGCGGGTCACAAGTACAATGAAAATGCTGAACGCAGCGTTCTCAAAGTCGGTCATCTGGATCTCCATGGAACGAAACTCGACCCGCCAACCAATGTCATCCTTGTCAGGTGGTGGGGGTTTGAACCGCATATGCTGCCAGTTTGTGGACTGCAAATTCTCGAAGTGATCCGCTTTGTCCAAGTCGAGTTCTTCAAGATCTTCCGAGAAGATGACCAAAGGATCACGGATGAAGAGATGTGCAAAATGTGTGGCTAGAAGATCATCCATTCCGTCCTCCATCAAACGCTTCTTGATATCCTCGTCAATGATCAAGTCAGGGTCCAAATATTCCTTTCGCAACCGGGGGTCTTGTGAAATATAGGTCGAGTTTGAGGCATATCGGGATTTAGGGATCCTCCATCTGTCATTTTTCAAGGGCTGTGAGATGTTAGCGAATGACATTAGTAGCGGAACAGGGCAATCGTACAAGTTCGCCAAGCTCTTCACGAGTACGGTCATCAACAGCCCCACTGATCTGATTCCAGCGTACATCCGTGTCAACAAGGAAGCCCTTGTAAATTGGCGTAGCAGCGGTCAAGGCCAGCAAAATAGGCCCCAGTGGACTCAACTGGTCGTATAACTTCCTCCCTTCGGTCATATTCTTGGCCTGGAAAGTGATTTGCAGACAGCAACTGCCCATACCAAAGGCCATGGCATCCATGTACACATGATCGTCCTTGGCTGCTCCGTTTCTAACGTCGTCATCCTCAGGCCAGATATGAAGATCATAATTCACAGTTGGGTCTTTAAATGGTTCGGGCGTATTCGTGTCTTTATATACCGGGACGTTCAGCTCAACCTTGCGACCTCTCCTTGACCGGATGTTAGCAGCCAGGGTTGGGAACCTGATGTGCGGATTGGCGATCTCGTCGGGCACAAACTGGGACCGAAGCGCAGGACCAGACGGCGGAAAATAGGGCTGGATATAGTCATCCTTGGTACCCAGGCGAGGAAATGTCGTAAGGGTGATGGGATGTTCATTCGGTGCCATGTGGGCTTTGGCAACCTCGCGTCTGTGGTGATGATATTAGAGATCACAAGCTATCATCGAATCCAGTGATTTTGTACGGACCTCCATTTCATGTTTGACTCGACCTTCAGCAGGTCCTTGAAATCGATTCCCCAGGGCTTACCCGGTGTTGCTTCAAGCATGAAGCGGCCAAATTCCGGATGGAAGTGTGGTGGCTCTTCCCCGTCACTGCAATCCATCAGATATGTCCACAATTTGTTCTTGCCAACAAATCTCACTGTTCATCGTTCGGGGACTGAGGTCGAGTTCCTTGCTTCCATGATGCTTCGTCTTCCGCAAGTGACTTAAGAATCTCCGCCTGTGCGAGTGAGAGGCGGGCCTTCTTCGCTTCGTCATCGACAGCTACAACAAGGTACTCAACCTGATGAATTGAGATCGATTAGCACAATAGAATGAGTCTCTGCGGGGTGAAATCTTACCTCATCGCCCCAAAGCAGAGCATTGCGCTCCTTGCCCTTGGCTCTATGCCAGTTCGCAAGTAATTGCTGTCTTTGGTCAATACATTTCTGGCTGTGACATATGCCAAATAGACAGAATGGCGAAATACTCACCTCAATACCCCATTTGCGAACCTGGTCTGCTCTTTTCTTGGCCTCCGGCCAATCCAGGGCCGTTCCAAGCGCGCTGGAAGAACGCAAGTTAGTCTCTGGCGCGCTCAAATCATCTGGCTTTCACTCAGCGCTCATCACATACAGCAAGCCCATTCTGTCGCTGATCAGGACTATCGGCAGGAAGGCGCGTGGATTCTCGGAGGGAGAGACCTGACCGTTGAGTCGCGGCACAAAGGTGGTGGGGTGAGACGACGGGAAAATCAGTCCATACAAAAACCCCGCGGAGATGAGGGGAAACTTCCAGTTTCCACAGACAATTAGACTCCGATCTAGGACCCGATCGAGTCACGTCAGTAGCACGCAATGGCCCGGCTCAAGGTGCAGGCGATATAGACCAAAATCATGAATCCCCAAGCAGGATCGAGAGATGCCAGAGAAAGAGTGGAAACAGACGGATCGTGCTCCTTCTTATCGACTTGATGCTGATTTTCGTGTCGAACCTTCGGGGTTTCAGGCTCAATCGCCTATTGGCGGGGACAAAACGTCTCTCCGTTCATAGCGGGGCAGGAAAAGCATTATCGGTGATTGTCACCCACGTCGATTTCTAAGCAGCGTGAAGGAAGGGCGCCGGGTCAGGTGACTTTCCCGTCATCAGTTCGCTGCAGCGGTATACAGAGCCATTTTCCAGCTATAACTATGCATCTCTCTTCCAGCAAAGCGAGAGAAATGAGTCAAATGGCTTATGCAATCAAATGGCTTATGCAAGATATCTCTTTGTACTGCGCTACATAAATACATACCCAGACCATGGCATCTTCGCACATGATTGACTACGTAAAGCGGGAGCTTGTTACAATCATTTTAAGTTGCAATTAGGATAACGTGCTCCAGAAAAGGAACTGAAGCTCCCGTGCTAGAATCAATTGATGCTGTCTCAATCCCGACTCGCTTTTTAGCAGGCTGACATGCTCAAAACGGCTCCCGGCTAGGGCAGGACTGCCTGTCTTACTCATGCTATATTGCCCTAAGTAGGAGCACGTCAAGCTGCGCGGTTCTCCCAGAAGACATTGTAGGGAGATGACCAGCTACTGAGGCCTTTCATGGTTTGATTGACCCTGGCTCTCAAAATATGGTATCGATATGATCGACTCGATGGATCCCAACGCCAAAGTCGGTACATGGACAAGCAATCTCACAATCTCTATGTACATAACATGCTGCTTCGTTCGTCGCCAATAAGAGGATGTCGCAAATTCCGGTATCAATTGCTGCGGGCACCATCCTTTGCGGCCCGAAGCTCTTCCATCTTGGCGACGCGCTTCTTGAACTCCTCGTACTGGCACTTCTCGTAGCTGTGTCGCTCATCCTGCAATTTGCGACGCAGATGTCAGATCCATTTTTCCATTCAAATGATAGGCAAGGAGTATTGGGGGGAGTCGGAACAACGCACCTCGCACTTCCACGGGAGGTAGTACTCCTGCTGCCGGCAGCGGTTCAAGGGGATTAGCAAGTGAGCGCAAGAGTCGCGGTACTGAAGAGGAAGGCGAGCATCCGACATTTCCTGGCTCGTGGCAGCTGAGAGAGTGTCAGTCATGACTTCGATGAGCAACGTTATTCACCGCGTTGCTTCCCCACGCAGTGGAGGCCAATGGCAATATAAACTTACGAGTGCTGCCCGAAAGCCCAAAGGCGCTCTTCACTGTCTCGGCAACAGTCATATTGAGAGGAGAAAAGGCTGTTATGAAGGTGGGATTCGAGGACAAGCGACTAGACCGTGAGGTTTGCAGCTATTCCGTAGTCGTCGTCGTTCCTTCCTTGCCGGCAGCGTCATGTGACGACACGTGACAGCATATCCGCAAAAGGATTAGCTTGGTTAAATCCACTTTACGCGGTCCGACGTACCCAGGGCGCGTCTTGCTTAGCCAGACCTTCGCGTTTCGAGATCAATACTGCAGAATCATTAACACGCCATCCTCGGTCTTTCCCCCATCATGCTCATGTGAATCCACCCGGCCAATCAACGAGCGTCGGATCTTAATGCATCTCAAGAATTGAAGAAACACCTGACATCCCTGTTGTTGTTGTCCGACTGCCGAGCGGCGGTGTCAGTCGCTGTTGCTGAACGTGACCTCACTGAATCAGGACAGCGTAAGGGGACGCACATCATGGCGGGAGTTGACTTTTCGAAAGTATACTCTGCTACCTATAGCAGTGTAAGCAGGAATCTCCAGAACCCGCCGTGCCTTCTTCAATTGGATCACTTACGGACCAATTTCGATCGACCGAAGGGGTAGAATCCCAAGCTGATGCATGTCACTAGGTACCGGTCTACGAGCTGAAACTCGATGGAGAAAGCGTGATGCGAAGACGGTCGGACGACTGGATCAATGCAACCCATATTCTCAAAGTCGCCGGATTCGACAAGCCAGCGCGAACGAGGATACTCGAGCGGGAGGTACAAAAGGGTGTCCATGAGAAAGTGCAAGGTGGATATGGCAAATATCAAGGTAAGTCCGTCTTGTCCAAGGTCTTTACTGATAACCCCTGTTAGTAGAAAGGCGTATCGGTTCTGACTTTAGTAGGTACATGGATACCTCTCCCTGAAGGCCGACTCCTCGCTGAGCGCAACAATATAATCGACAAATTGAGACCGATATTCGACTATGTTGCCGGAGATCGTAGCCCTCCACCAGCACCGAAACACACAACCGCGTCAAAACCAAGGGCGCCGAAGAACACAGCTAACCGGAGAACTGTGAACGAGGAGGTCTTCAGTGCTATCAAACCAGCCCGAAATATGGCGCCACCCCCTTTACCCACGAACAGTACGAGATGAGCACTGGCTTTGACGACAACGAGTCCATCGAACAAGCGACGCTTGAGTCGTCGTCAATGATAGCGGATGAAGAGATGATGACAATGTCACAGAACGGTAACTTCTCTCGCAAACGCAAGCGTGGAATCAATGAGGCGCCTGTGATGTCCATCAGCGAACAAGAACACATACTCTACGGGGACCAGCTCTTGGACTACTTCATGACAGTAGGCGATGCGCCCGAGGCTACACGTGTACCACCTCCACAACCACCATCCAACTTCCAGGTAGATCGCCCAATTGACGACTCCGGTAACACGGCCCTTCACTGGGCCTGTGCTATGGGAGATCTGGAGATTGTGAAAGATCTCTTACGAAGAGGAGCAGATATGAAGGCATTATCGGTACACGAAGAGACCCCGCTTGTGCGAGCTGTTTTGTTTACGAATAACTACGAGAAGAGAACTTTCCCTCCGCTTCTCGATTTACTTTGGGATACAGTCTCATTCAGAGACTGGTTTGGTGCCACCATATTTCATCATATAGCAGAGACTACGCGGAGCAAGGGCAAATGGAAGAGCTCACGGTACTATTGTGATGTGCTGCTAGACAAGCTGCGCCTCATGTGCTCGGTGGAAGAAGTCGATCTTTTGTTGTCCTTCCAGGACTCTAATGGAGACACAGCGGCCTTAGTGGCTGCTCGGAATGGCGCTTTCCGCTTGGTGGACTTGCTTCTTGCACGGTGTCCACGGGCTGGCGACTTAGTGAACAAGAAGGGCGAGACGGCTGCAAGCATTACCCGACGAGCGCATCCGTCCGAACGCGACATTCCTCCTCCGCCATCATCTATCACGATGGGCAACGACCAGTTGGACGGCGAAGCGCCAGGGCCGATGAATGTTGACACCCAGCCCGCCACTCTTGCCCAAGAGTCATCGTCTCCTGCCACCACCGCGTTGCTGTCCAAAATTGGTGTGATAATGGCTGAAGCAAATAAGAAACTTACTGTAAGCTACGGAAGCTCAAAAGCGAACGGGCAGGACTCTGACGACGTTGCGAACCCGGAAACACTGTACGAGCAACTAGAGGTGGATCGACAGAAGGTGCAGAAAGAAACAGCTGTCTTACAAGCGCAGGAGGCTGGTGAGCAGCCAATCGATGCTCAGCTTGAACGTTATGAGCAGTTGCGAAGTGGCTACGAGTCACTGCTAGAGCAGATTCAGCAGGGTCGCCTAAGAGAGCGCATATCATCGGTAGTAGTACCTGCAGCACAGGAGGGTACGACGCCACCCGCCACTGACCATGATAAACTGCTACGCACCTATCAGCTGGCTCGACAACTGTGCTCAGCACAGAAAGCTCGGCGCGCTGCTGTCAAAGACCTTGCTCAGCAGACGGCTGACGCGGGAGTAAGCACCAAGTTCGATGTCCATCGGAAGTTGGTGGCACTCGCCACTGGTCTCAAGGAGGAAGACCTCGATCCCATGGCTGCTGAGCTAGCCGAAACATTGGAATTTGACCGTACGAATGGGAAGGGCGATGCGGCGGAGTCGCCAGATCCTGAGCCCCGAGAATCCGCATCTTTTCCTTTCCCCGGGACGACCGTGTCTGTTGATGCATGAGTACGTCCTAGGTCGCGTATCACATGTTGTATCGCCCGCGTTTACTGCGCTATCGGGGCCTCTTCCTTCCCGATCTGGTTTTCAGCTGTCTTGGATCAGATATGATGTCTCATCAAATTCTTTCAGGATAGCGGAGCGCTTCTGATGATCTGATTCCGACCCTCATTATCTTCTTTCACTCTCTGAATTGTGCTCACTCGTCATGAATTGTCTGACCCTTGCATTTTCCTACCTCTGGCGGACAATTTGAAATTCTGGTTTGCCAGCAGATACCCAATACTTTCTCTGTATTCTAACTTCTTTTCTTCATGTTTCCTCTTCAGTCATGACGTTGGCTTTCACTGTTCCCGAGCTGTGGGGGTGATCGTCGTGCCATTGCCGTCGGCGCTCGGTCGACTACGCGCAAGGCCAAACTTAACAATACGAACCTGAAAGACCGGAAAGGGGCCGCAGTGTGGGCTAAGCCTCGATCAAAGAGTCCACATCTTGGTTGCCTTGTATTTGAAATGGACAGGATAATTGGGTCTATGTATGTACATATGGAGTGATCCAGCCAAATACCAGGCCCTCAGTTGATGACATGTGCTTTTCCATCGACGCGTCCAGCTGATTCCACCGACAACCCCTGTGCCCGCGACTCTAACAACCCACTATAGACTTTTGATGTCTAGTTGCTTCTCTTACTGCAAAAGCTAGAGAATCTCCTACCTGTAGAAACACAAGCTCGACTTTTTCGCCACAGTAAACACGACATTCTTGCCCCAGCCCTTCTAGAAGACACGTTGGAAACCATCGCTACTACAGGCATCCAACACACGAATAAATCGAAGCAAATCATCCCACCGGCGCACTTAACATCACAACCTAGCAGCCTAGCAGCCTAGCAGCTTTAGTCGTCCCCCACCACCCTACCACGCTCAGCAAACCCATTGCAGGATCTAAGACTTAGCCCACTACAGCCCACACACGATCTAAGACTCCGAATGTGAGGCAGCGATGAACTCCCCCCCCCCCTGGGTCTAGATGGGGTCCCCAAAGACTAGAGGAGAAGACAAAAACAGAATTTTTCCACTCATACTCCCAGATCCGGTCCTTCCGGGGAGCCAGCTCGGAAAAGGATACTACTGGCACTACGGAGCGCACTGCGTAAGCAATACTAAATCGGCCATGCAGGATGCGAGAACGGCGGCGGAGGGAAACAAAATTTGTTGCATGCGACATATGCAGAGTTGGTCAGTCTCCTTGCATTGGTGTCGGGCGACGCCCGAGAAGTTAATGGGAGATTCGGTTAAGTTATGCGAGTTGGGAATAGTTGGGGGGGTTAAATCATGATCCAGAAGGTTCGGGGGCATGATGCGCTCAGATAACCTCTTCTTGTCTTGAAATTGAGGTGCAGGAGTGAGTGCATATTCTGTGTGGAGTGTAGGTACCTAGTACAGTACTGCCTAGTCTGATCATGGGTGTGTGGTGGGACTGCTATACTGATTTTTTGCTATGGCTATGGTTTTTGACGTATGTCGGGAGGGCGGTAGATTCGGATTTCCAGGATCCCTGGGGCTCTGATAGAGGTTAGTGAGACAATATGGAACTAGCCTTCAATAATAGGTAGGTATGGGAAGGAGGAGTGTGCTGTGATGCTGTTTCTTGTGCGCGAGAGGGATTGACTCCCTAGTCTACTCGAGCAACGCACGAGCACTCGATGTGAGAAAGTGCAGTACGCGCACGCTTTGAATTGAGTTTGCACCGGTTGGTGTCAAAGCATAGTACTATGTATTGGCAGTGAGTATTGTCAGTGAGGGATGTGCCGTTACTGGACAATCAACATACAACAAAACTAGATGTAGGCTTAAACTTTCGAGAACCTGGTGGCACAACGGTTTAAGAATAGGCCAGGGGCTCGGGGTTGTTAGGGAACCTCTAGGAAGAGAGATAGAAAGAGAAGGAAGGGGAAAGGATCTGCTATGGGTTACGCCGGGATGTTCCCCCTAGGAGAGAGCGGGATGTCGATTTGAGTTTACTAGCTAATGCATCTTCTGATATGCCCCGTTTACTTCCGTTAAGGGGAGGGGGAAGAGAGAGGGGCGGAATTTGGGCCGGCGGCCGATGTAGTGATCTTCTGTCTCTGTAATAAGCATTGGACGAGTCACTATTCTGTCAAACCGGTCCGGGATTAAACTTCTAGTGCGTGCTGGCCCATCCGGAACAATGCGATGCTACCTAAGCAGGTGGGTTTGTGTAGATGGTGGATTGGGGTTAGCCCTGGGATCGTTCGAGAGGTAGTCTAGTTGCCTCCTTGGTGACATGAGAATCTAGTTAGTCGAACAGGGTCCAACCTCTGACACGTTATGGTCGTTTGCTACAAAGTGGCTCTATGATCACTGCCTCTTTTATCCATTGCATCGAGAACTCGACCCAGTCCATGGAACGGGGTGTGTGAGAACCGTCGGTATGGAGACGAAAACGGAGGAAATCGCTGTCTTTTGAATCGCCTTCTCGCACATCATGCAAAGACCCTGGGGCCACTGACATCGACCACAAACCTGTCATCGGACGTCACCAATGATTGGTAGGTCAAAGGAGCTGACTTCGTCGGATCGAACAATCTGGGAAAATGGGACTATGCAAGACGACGAAGTTTTCTTTCGCTGGCCTCTGACGGTAGTGCACGGGGTACGGCGGGACCACCCGTCCCACACCAGAATGGAGTCGTGATTTTCCGCAAGGGGGGCTGAAAACCTTTCTAACTCAAGCGCAGTAAGAAGCGTGCTTTTGGATCGAAGTCTACGGAATGTACAGCCGTCGGAGTGGTTGAGGCAATTCCACAATCAGGAAGCCTCTGTCGAGGAGCAAGATCGATTGTACGGGGACTCGTTGGGCAAGTCCGAGCGATTGCGGGACGATCTATTGACTGGACGAAATGACGATGCTCCAGGCTATATGACGCCTGGAATATAAACAGGGAGCGGACAGGGACAAGCTTGTTAACAAGCGACTGAGATCAAGTTGCACGAGGGGGACAACTGGATCGAATGGAGCGGCCAAGGAAGAGAGTTTCCAGTCAAGTGCTTGGCAATCGAGAAAGGAGGAAACTAGTTGCCTTTTCGCGCAAATCCGTTGGGTCTTGGATAGTTGAACTCCTGGATGACTGACTGATTTCTCCAAGAATTCTCTTGGGGCGCAGGTCTAGTTTTGACTAGCTCCATTGTTATCGGAAGCACGGAGATTTCTGGCAGGACACTGAGGACAGGCTTGGCCAGTCGCCCGCAACCTCAATCTTCTGCCGCTGAACCCAAGGCACGAGTGGATCGGAGTGGAGATCCGGGAAAGACAGGAAAGCCAGTCGTTGCGGGCTACCAATTCTTGGTAGGTTTGCAAGACCTCCTCCAAAGTGTGGTAGGAGGAGCTGCTGGAGGCTAGCAGCGACTGGACCGTCCTCAGTGCGTGATTTTCGAGCAGGAGAACCTAAAAAAAAGAAAGCTTTAGTCTTTTGGGGCCAGAGTTGCGTTCCGAAGAAAGGGTGACCATGTCCGATCATCAGGCATCCGATCCACCATTAGGGTTGATCTGCAGCCTCCGTCTTGTCCAGCGTTGCGTCGGTGACTGTAGTTAGGGTAACTTAGTGTGCAGCTGGCAAATTTGCGAGAATCCCTCTTCGCATTGCTTCCCTAGAACAAAAAGAAGAAGTAGTTCATACTAGCAATCAGGACACAAGAGAGGTACGTACTATCACTTACAAAGGATATGTTCGATGGAAAGGAGAGGAGAGGGGGCGAAAACGAATTAGAGGCAGAGAAGAAGGAGGATTACTACGCCGGACCATGTCTCTAGATTGGAGGATCTGCGGATTGATTGGGGAGGGGAGGTGGGAGAAAGTGGGTATGGGTTCCATTGCTCCCAATCGCTCATCCAGATCTCTTGAGCACTTTAGCTACGTATTAAGTATGCGTATGCTAAGTTGCTAATCAACTAGTAGTATTACTGACAACACAAAGAGAAACGATGCGAATAGACTAAATGTAGCTAAAGGTAGAAAAAAAAAAAGAACCAGTGCTAGACTTAGACTTGACCGACTTAAGACTCAAGAGTCTCAGACAGACAGACATAAGCCAAGTCGGTAGTTGGTCTCACCTGCAGTTAATCAATTTCAATTGCATTATTATTTGCCCGACCAGAGTTCCATCTCTCTCTTTCATTCCCTTCCCCCTCACCCCTCTTTGAATTCCCCTCCCTCTGGCACTCTTAGTTCTCTCCCCACTCGGTCCCTCCCCGGCCTTTGACTTGATCTTTCGCCGCCTTCAGATTATTTGCCCCCCCGGACACTCGCTCACTCCAACTCCCTCAACCGACCCGATGGTTCGACTGGCTTCTTAATAATAATCGGATCCGATCTCGACCTTCCCCCCTTCCCAACGCTTGTCGATCATTCAATTTCTATTCCTATTCCTATTCTTATTTTTATCCTTTCTTCATTCACAACCAATCCCTCTCCACTTCATTTCTGCTCAATCGATATTCGGACTTGCATCCTCTTGACAATCCAGTACTCGCTCTTTTACTACCTACTCCTTATCTGTCCGCTCCTATTTTCGATTCCCATCAACGACCGTTCCGATTGCGAAACCCCGCCGCTGAATGCTACACTGGTGAACGTCCCGCGCAGTCTGGCTTGGAATTTCGGTCGGACCTCTCCCCGTCCTTCGCTCTGTCTCATGGATATCTTCCCCCCGCCATATTGTCGCCAATTCAACTCGAGACCTTAGATATGGAGGTTCAGACTTTGGTGTGTGCCCCGGGGAAGCCTCCTCTCCCCGCACAGCCCCAGCTTCCCGCAGCCGCTGCTGTGCCTGAGAAACGAAAGCGGGTCCGGAGATGGCATCACCGGGGGTTTACCGGATGTTCAACCTGCCGTCGTCGCCATGTGCGCTGCGACGAAGCGTCGCCGTCGTGCAAGAATTGTACTCGGTTGGGTCTCGAGTGCGATGGGACGCAGGGCCGCATGACTTTCAAGGTCTACGGGCCGCCACCGGCTACTTCCGAATCCATGACTGCGCCCACGAAAAAACGAGACAAGAAATCGACTTCCCCGACACCACAAGAGGTGAAGCAGGAGTCGAAAGAGAATGAGGAGCCTTTCGAGGCACTGGTGGTGTCTCCAACAACTGTTTCAGACTTCAAACCCATAAAATACCGTTTCCAGGAGCCGATCTCCCCAGCCGAGTTTATATCTTCGTCTCTCGACTGTGTTGAGGGCCGCTATTACACACACTTTGTCGATCAAGTCGCTACCTTGTTGCTCATTTACGACAATTCGATCAACATCAATCCCTATCGGCGGTTTTTCCCGGACCTCGCCCGGTCCTCACCGTCCATGGCTAGTGCCATGCAGGCTATGGGAGCACTGCATCTCGCCAATACTTCCAAAGGACAGCAACGAAACAAGCATTTTCAACAGGCCATGAGCAACTACGGTGAAGTCGTCAAGTCCTTCAGGACTCGCTACACCGAGCCAGACCAGAGTGTCCGGCTCACCGACCTCGCCACTTGTCTATTGCTGTCTTTGTTCGAGGTACGTCCATCGCAGGCTTGCGTACCTGTCTTTCGTGCTGACTGGTTAGATGATGGATTCTCAAAATCACAACTGGGCTATCCATCTCAAGGGAGCCCGCGAGATTTACCGAATCTTGTTCTCCGCCAATGACGACCCTGCGAAAGAAGCCAAGCGGCTCGCTGAAATCAATCACCCGATCCGACCATTCCTTGTTTCTCTTCTTTCATACCTCGACGTCGCTGGAGCATGTGCCACCAGCGAAGGCACAGTGGTAGAAGGTAGTTATTGGAGAACACATGGAGGGGGCTGGGAGTACAATCTTGGTACTCCAAGTCTGTCTCCCGAGCCTCCCGCCTACAACCACTTATTGGTGGAGCTGCGCCAATGTTGGTCGGTGATGATGGAAATTCAAGCAGCAATTAGTGCCTTCGGAAAAGCTAAACACGATGGCCTCATGTCGCTTGAGCAAGAAGACCTTGTCTATCACGAACTGCTGCAGCGTTTAGTGCAATGGCGTTTGAACGCTCCTGACGCTCTTCAAAGCCTAGGCGGGTTAGATGATACGAGCTTACAGCAATATCCTTATCCCGATGTTCTCGAATACGCGGGATGCATCGAGGCTTACGAAAAAGCCACTAACATATTCCTCCACCGTGTGGGAGCGGCAGGACGACCCGATCGTCCGTCCCAAAGGCCACTACTGGACATGCTTGCATCGCGAATCTTAGCCCTAATTGGAAAGCTCGCCAAAGACGTGGGACAACTGGCGGCACTATGGCCCCTGTTTACCGCGGGACATGAGACACGAAACGAACATGAACAAAAATATGTACGACAGACAATGACCGAACTCCAGCGGTATGGTTTCAAGGTATGTCCTCCACCAGTCTTGCATTATATTGTTAGTGAAATACTTACAATGGTCCAGAATGTCGATCGAGGCCTGGAAGAGTTGGAGAAAGCATGGTTCAAGCAGCGTGCCTTCCCCGAAGGATGGGTCGAATCAATGGATGACATCCGTTCATCCATTCTTCTTCCATAATCACGCCCTTCTCGTCACTCTTATAATTTTTCACTTACGATTTCACATCGGGAACTATGATGCCCGAGCGTTCCTTCGACTTCATATCTTACGAACCATGGTCGGGTGACATTATTTTTTTGGTTTCTATGACATATTTAGCGGGGACTCGATTGTATCGGACGGCGTTTATCGGGTTAAGAGGCGCTTGGTCGGATAGGGCTGGACCCTTTGGTTTGCTACACTTGTAATGTTTACAGGTCTTTCGGATTGGATCAGCACGCGCAGCGGGATAGATTGTTTGGATTTGTCACCCTGCACATACCGCGGTGTATAGACGGCACATACAGGATTCCGATATTACATAGAAGATGGTGAAATAATGTATCCAACACCTCATTGCATTCTTGATAATATAAACACCCTAACCATAGGTTTTGCTCATAGTCAAGTTCTGAGAAACTCAAATAGACACCACTGACATGAATTGAGAGCATCATTTCTTCTTCAAGCCTTCTCAATCTATCCGGATGCTTGAATAGTTCCTTGTACACTACATCTTAAAACACAGAAGGAGCATAAAATCGCCAAGATGAAACATTCCACGCCAAGATGCCTTCTAATGCATCATCTAGATATCTACAAGTAATTATACACATGAACCGACCAACCCATACCTTTCTTCGTATTTTTTCCACCCTCCTCCTTCCTTCACTCCCACCATACCATATGAACTTTTTAATTTTTGCTTTCTCCCCCTCTTGCAGTTTGTCAGGGACAAGATCAGACCGGAAATTATCTCAAAACGTCCGCCGCAACTGAAACATAGTCCGCCGCGGAATCCACCACTTTTTCGCCTATTACTCAGCCGTCTCCGAAGAAGGGCGATCGCCATTCAGCGCACGAGCACCACCACCATGACTGGTGCTACTCACGCCAACCTCCTCAACCGAGCTCTGCACCGCCCCTTTACTATCGATGAAATGCGAAATGCGATCGATCGGCAACCACGCGCTTTCCGGGGTGACCCAGTAGGAGATCAGGGCGAAGATGGTCACACCGGCCATGATGATGGGGGCGTCTGAGTTTGCATTAGTTCCCGTACCGCGAACAAACTGGTGATTCAAGATCGAATGGGGAGACAGGACATACAGTTCAAATTCGCTCCGGTGACGGGGAACTCGTAGGGCGAGAAGAGAATGGCGACGACCCAGGCGTTCCAGAAGACGCCGATGAACTGGAAGGGCTTGCTGAGGCGGCCCAGACTCCACTCCGGTTTGGGGAACCGGTCGGGCGTGCACAGCAGCCGGCCCAGGCAGATCAGCCCGTAGGCGGCGGCGCTGGGGACGCCCGCGGCGGAGACCAGCGAGGTGAAGGCCACGTCTGACGGCAGCAGGGTGCACGAGATCAGGGCCGCCACGCCCCAGACCACGATGACCGCGTTGCGCGGCTGGCCGTTCTTGACCTGCGACACCCAGTGCGAGAAGGGGAGGACGCCGTCGCGCGCGACGGCAAAGACCAGGCGCGAGGCGGCGAGGATGGCGATTGCTGTGTTCTGTTCCTCAAAAAGTTTTTTGGTTAGAAGGGTTGGTGGAGAGGGAGGGGTTCGGGGCTAAGGGGGCACGTACCAGCCACAGGGCGACGATGCAGATTATGTTCATGAAGATGTGGCCGCCCTTGCCGAGTACGACGGCGTAGAGGGGCACGAAGGGCTGCGGGGAGCCGAAGGAGAAGAGCGTGTCTGCGTCGGGCTGGTGAAAGAGATTAGTTAGTGGGGTTTGCTTTGGGGTTGGCGGTGGAGAGCTTACCGCGCAGAACAAGAAGAGGATGATCGTCGCAAGCCCGCCAATGCCACTGACTACGGTGCTCCAGAAGATACCGCGGGCGGCGGTGACGGAGGCGTGCTTGGTCTCCTCGGCGACATGACCGGAAGCGTCGAATCCGATCAAGATACCGGCCGTCGCGAGGTAGGACAGACACCAGTTCCAGCCTGCAGGGGCGCCGGTGCCGTTGTACGTGGACATGAAGGCCTCCTCCGCCGTGCGGAAGCCCCAGGTGTTGGCGGCTCCGATGGGCAGCCAGATTAGGTTGAGGAAGAAGTCCAGTAGGACGATGAGGGACGAGCAGTAGAAGACCCATTTGTATGCACGGGCTAGAAGGATCCTGGGTTAGTCTGGGGGTGTGCCTACCGCACCTTAGAGGGGCAGGGGAGGTTCAACATACGCGGCAGATAGTTCAGGAGCGCGGCCAATGCCAGGAGGATCTCTGTGCAGATCCACTGTACGGCGCGGAACTTGACGCTGGAGGTGTCTTTCGGAAAGTCGACATTAAAGACAGTCAACTCCTGTCGTGTTTGGTCAGCACCTGAAATCAATGGATTGGGGGTGTGAATGACACATACGGAAAGCATGTAGTTCACGGCAGCTTGAGTGTTGCTGGCGCAGAACGTCGTCCATGCAGTGGTACTCCACCATGCAACAACGAAGCCCAGGAGTCTACCGAACCGAGGGCCTCCCGCCTCTGCGGCCCAGAGGTAGATGGATCCTGCAGACGGAGAAGCCGAACATACTTCTGCAATGACCGCAGCAGTAATGTAAGTGAAGACCATGGTTACCAGGTAACTCGTCCTGTGTGGAAGCATGAGCCACCAGGCCGTGTCATTGGGATGTTGATAGCTCTCTCACCAGTAAGCCAGGTTACCGCCTGCTGCGATACCGGTGCTGAATGTGACCCGCACACCTCCAACAAAGTACAACGCAGCTGTCAATTGCGAGGTTAGCATGCGGAACTAGATGGAATCATGCTAAATGCACCGGTCGGGGCGTAGATTGCCTTACCGAATGTCGTTGAGAAGTTCTCAACCAGAGTGTATGTTCTATGCAGGACCTGTTCAGATGTATAAGCGGTTACCGTTTTCCATGTGGGTCAATGACCAGTACTAACTGGCTTGTAGCCCATTGACTTCTGTTCAAGTGTGTTAGCATTGGAGTCCGCAGTTTTTTTCCCTTTAATGCGCTATACAATTCCGGAGATTTTTAGACGCGACACTTACCAAAAGTTTCGCATCTTCGTGAGATTCAGTCTGACTTCTGACGGGTTCGGCTTCGACAGGAAGTGTGTTGGGGTCAACCACCAGCTGCGACTGGTCCTGATGCGCCGGAGTAGCCATGGTCGGGATGTTACCAAGGCCGAGCGAATTCAACACCGAGCGCTGGGTGTGTGTTTATACCAGACCAGAAGAAAGAAAGAAGAGAAAGAGTTGATTCTTTTCAACTGGAAGGCGGGTGAAATTTGCTGATAGAAGTGAATTGAGATTTGCCAGGAACCGGCAACCCCACCAGGTAAGCCGCCAACAAGATCCAACGAATAGCAGAAAAGACTTCCAAAAGAGTTTGAGCGGGTAACAGGCCAGACCTTATAAGGAACTTAAGGAACCAGTATAAGGTTCCGACGGGGTTCCGACAAATTTCACTACATATAAGATTCCATGCAAGCCGACAGTTTACGCAGGTCGAACGTGGTGTTACCTCTACAGAGAATACCTTTTTTGTGGGTGATTCGAAGGCGATCGCGAAGGCTTGATTGAGTCCGGAGATGTCTGCTCCGCAAGAGCCGTCAGGTGAGGGAGCGAAGAAATAGAAGCTCAAGCTGCACTCTCCACTTCTTAGCCAGGATTCCAATCAGCAGTTGTACATGGCAGGATGAGACCACCGTGGGTCTCAACGAGGGAACTTTAAGGCAGGTTGTAGGTTTGGTAGCATCGTGTTGGCCCCGTTTTCAGATCCATTCTAGCCGTACTTCAACATGACCAGCAAGTGCCTGGTAGTTACCATTATGATATTAAGGGCGAGGGATAAGGCCTCGTAAATATTCAGCTTTTTTTTTTTCATCATAGCCTCTACGGAGTGGAATGAAGCGACGCTTTTTGTGAGTCACTAAGTCGAGACTGATCGTTGGTGGGCAAGGCAAGCAAGGAAGCACGAGGAGGGCAACGACATCATTCCGTGATCAAATCCCAGCGGGGTCCACTGCCGGTGGAGCTTTCAGGAAAAAATCCGTGCGCGGCTCCTATACCGGACTGCGTAAATGCTTTTTCTTTTTTGATTGCTGCTGCTGCCAAAATTTGCAGGGCATGATTGTCGCAAGAACTCTGATCCGACAATGTGCTTCTCATATTGACAAGAGATAGACTTAATTTGAATCAATCTCATGAACTCGAAGATCAAGGAGTCTAAGTCGACGGCTTCGAGCCTCAGGCATCAAGGCCCGGCTAAACCATACCCGACAATGTCACCTGTACAGTACAAACAGTACAAACTGCTCCAGCATACACTCACAGTTTGTATGCGACAAGCCATGGTAAGTTCGGAATTCATGCCGGCGTTGGATAAGTCTGCCTGGGATTGTTTTTTTTCTTCAATATCTCTTCTAGTAGGGTTGTCATCTAGGATATGCTGTAGAATATTATGGATCTTATCATGTCGTGCCCCGAATAGCCTAAACGACTACCAGGTTGACAGTCAAGTCGGAGCATAAACAACCAGGTCATCCCCCGCCAAGTGTCGCGGCCAACAAGCTCTCATTGCCAATCAAGGCGCCTTCCCCACGCGAGCTTCCCCTCATTTTATGCCGACAATCTCTCCACCGTCACATCCCCCGCGGCACCGTGTCATCGGGCGATCCGATGGAATACTATACCGATTATCCGAACCGCATATCCATCCATCACTCACTTAACATCAGACTTGTGGAAGAATGGTCGCTGGTTTTCCCGCCCATCCCTTGCGCGCGTCGAACCTGGCCTCCCCCGCAATGCCCATCATCCGTCTCCTCTTCTATTTTAACCGCCCAGAACCACTCATTTGTCTTTCAAAGCCATAAGCTTTACCACTCAATCTTCCCTCTATTTGCAAATTTGCACACTTGGTTGGATCATTCTTAAGCTCTTTGTTCTGGTAAAGCGAACCTTACGGTAGACCCTTTATTCACCGCGGTGACTCCCATCATCCTTCAGCGTTACACCATCTATGCTGCCTGGACGCCATTTCCCGCGAGGCACTCGTCATTGAGCCGACTCCGGACATGCAACTGCCCAGGATCCCGCCATTTGCTACCTAATCTACCGAGTGCGACAATGAGTGTGCCCGTGTACCTGCGCCTGGCCTTTCGGCCTTGCCAGGCTGCTTCGAGCACCTATCCTGGGAGATCGCTGCTTTGCCTTCTGCAGCCAGGCATGTGGCTCTCACTTTCACTGTGTGCCGTTCAAGCTTTGTGGCAGGGTTGCTAATGTTACTTGAGATCGATAGTGGTGTCATCAATCCGAATCCCTTCGCATGCGCTCGGATACAATTACTCCGCCTCGCTACTCACCGGAGCCTTACAAAAGACCTCCCGAAGACATGCGAGTAGTGCTTCCGAATCCCCCGCTATCCCAGTCACTCCTTACTCCTCGTTGACCGTTGGCGTTCCGCGTGAAATCTTCCCAAACGAACGACGCGTTGCCATCACCCCACAGAATGTTGCTCTCTTGCTCAAGAAAGGCTTCTCGCGTGTTCTGGTCGAGCGCGGGGCCGGCGAGAATGCCGAGTTCCTAGATAAAGCCTACGAAGAAGCTGGTGCGGTATTGGTGGACCGCAACACCATTTGGTCTCAGAGTCAGATCGTGCTGAAGGTCCGAGGCCCTCAACTCCAGGGTCTCAACAATGAAGTTCGGGACCTGCGCCAAGGAAGTACGATTGTCTCGTTTCTGTACCCAGCACAGAATAAGCCACTGGTGGAAGAACTTGCCGCACGTGGTGTGACCTCTTTTGCTATGGACATGATACCCCGGATCTCTCGCGCGCAAATATTCGATGCGCTGAGGTGCGTAAGGTTATGTTGGAAGCTGTTCCCAATTACTGACAATGTCTGAATAGCTCTATGGCCAACATCGCCGGGTACAAAGCGGTTCTAGAAGCTTCAAATCACTTCGGTCGATTTTTGACCGGGCAGGCCACTGCTGCTGGGTAGGCGACACGTCCCATCATTAATGTCCATGCACTAACGTTGTTGATGGTAGAAAGGTGATATTGCTCACGTAACGGATTGACTACGTGTCGTGCTAAATAGTCGCTAGATACCCCCTGGCAAAGTGCTGGTTATCGGTGCTGGCGTGGCTGGCTTGAGTGCAATTGCATCGGTAAGCACTACGTGATCACGGATTCTACTAGCTTCAAATACCGACAAATAGTGTCCTAGGCTCGGAGACTGGGCGCTATTGTTCGTGGTTTCGACACCCGGCCCGCCGTTCGTGAACAGGTCCAGTCTCTTGGGGCCGAGTTCATTGAAGTCGACATACAGGAGGACGGCTCCGGTCAAGATGGCTACGCTAAAGAGATGTCCAAAGAATTCATTGAAGCGGAGATGAAACTTTTTATGGAACAGTGCCGAGAGGTGGACATTATAGTTACTACAGCTCTCATTCCTGGAAAGCCTGCACCTAAGCTGATTACCAAGGAGGTAAGGATAGACATCATACATTCATCGAACAACTTGCTTACCCTCTGATGTTAGATGGTCGCGGCAATGAAACCTGGCTCGGTGATCGTGGATCTTGCCGCAGAGGCTGGCGGCAACTGTGAAGCGACGGTTCCCGGACAATTAACCAAATACAAGGATGTTACTATCATTGGTCTGTCTACCCAAAATGCTATGGAGTACGTATGAACTAACTACGTTAGGATATACTGATCTGCCGTCACGCTTGCCAACGCAGTCATCGACCCTGTACTCTAACAACATCACCAAGTTCCTTCTCTCAATAGCCCCTCGAGAGAAATCCTTCGGTATAGACCTTTCAGATGAGGTTGTTCGCGGTTCAATCGTAACCATGGACGGAAAGATCTTGCCGCCGGCGCCACGCTCAGCACCGCCCCCTGCTCCAAAGCCCGAGGCAGCTCTGCCTACAAAGGAGCAAGCAGAGCTGGCAGTAACACCTTGGCAGAAGGTGACCCGTCAGGTTGCTACTACCACCGCTGGTATGGGAACAGCTCTTGCATTAGGCAAGGCCACCGGACCTGTGTTTATGGGTAACCTGATGACCTTTGGACTTGCTGGACTCGTTGGCTATCGTGCTGTGTGGGGTGTCGCACCAGCTCTCCATTCCCCGTTGATGAGTGTTACCAATGCGATTTCTGGTAAGTCAGCCATAGCCTCTCCAGTCAGATCATAGTACTAATGATTCCAAGGTATGGTTGGTGTTGGAGGATTCTTCATAATGGGTGGAGGGTATATGCCCAGCACGATTCCAGAAGCACTAGGAGCTGCTTCGGTCTCAATGGCCTTCATGAACATCTCTGGGGGCTTTGTGATTACCAAGCGCATGCTGGACATGTTTAAACGTCAGTGGTTCACCTCTCCCACGAGAAGTCTTCTGACCATATTTAGGGCCTACCGATCCACCGGAATACCCTTGGCTTTATGCTATTCCGGGTGTCTTGTTTGGTGGCGGCTTTGTTGCTGCTGCCAGTACCGGGATGGCTGGACTGGTTCAAGCTGGGTACCTCGTCAGCAGTCTTCTCTGCATTGGTAAGTATCATCATGTATCTATTGTGCCAGTGCTGATTGCGTTAGCTTCTATCTCTGGACTTGCTTCTCAGCAAACTGCCAGACGCGGGAACATTCTTGGTATCCTAGGGGTTGGCGCCGGAATCCTTGCTTCTCTTGCCGCTGTTGGCTTCTCTTCCGAGGTCTTGACGCAATTCGGCATCGTGGCAGGTGTGGGCTCGCTCGTTGGTATGTCCTTCGCCATGTTCTGGAAGTTGTGGTGTTGATGATTTCTAGGTGCACTAATTGGTCGTCGCATTACGCCAACGGGCCTACCTCAAACTGTTGCTGCCTTGCATTCAGTTGTTGGATTGGCGGCCGTGCTCACAAGCATTGGCAGTGTGATGGTGGATGTTTCACACATCTCAACCTTACACATGGTGACAGCATATCTTGGTGTTCTCATTGGTGAGAGATCGCATACCCGTCTATTGGGCAGAGTCCTTGCTAACTAGAGCAGGTGGTGTCACCTTTACGGGCTCGATCGTCGCTTTCCTAAAACTTGCCGGCCGCATGTCTTCACGACCCACAATACTTCCAGGGCGACATTTGATCAATGCAAGTCTGCTTGGGACTAATGTGGCC